TTGTCACAGGTGTTCACTGTTCAGTTCTGAGAATTTGATCGGAGAATAACTGGAGACCACGCGCCACACTTCGCTACAAGATTCCATAGTGTGACACATTTTGGCCTTAAAATTGAAAGTCCCGCGCCGAAACAAATAGGAAATGTCTATCTATATGGAAAAGAAAATGGGATACAAAATTTAACTGTAAATATGGAGTGAACCGAAAAATGTCGGAATGCACACTGGTGGCACGGGGACCGCGTTTTCTGGTATATGCATACATGCATACATACTTACATAAAAGAAATATATGCGGTCATGGACTTCTGGTACCACAAGCAGTAACGATTCTCAGGTCTGTATTGAGTGGGCGAAACGTACTCTATCCATCACAAGTGATCTCTCTCTCTCTCTTTCTCAAAAGAGATGGCAGAAACGGTTTTGAGAAACCATATTCACGATCGTTGACAGGCCAGATGTACTTTGAGTAAAATGCAGTTTTTTTCACATCATCAGTTCCACGGCCGCAGAGATGTTCGAGGCATGAAAGACAAATGTGTTGATAATTGTTTGGATCACAGAAACCATCTCTTATGGGGTTGGGAGGGAAGTGAACAGATTTCCAATAGTTGGGAAACAAACCATGGTGAAGGGATTGGGATAAATGTAAGTGGAGGATAGGAGCAAGCTCGAAAGTGTCATTATTGAACACCATAGGTAAGATTCTTTCAGGGTCGACCTATCTGTGGTACGTAGAAACTGACGTAGAAATTCCTTCTTGAGATTTCTTAACAAAGTATTAGACCATAGTGAATGGTTGGAAACGATGGGGGGGGGCGGGGGTGAAGGAAACATGGCGAGACAACGGAGACCAGATATCTGGTAATGTTCTTAACCGGTGGAACGGAGCGAGGGGGCCAAGATGACGTGAAGTTCCTGTGCAAAGTGACGAGAAAAAGCGGTGAACGAACGGCTAAAATGTCTGAAAGCTGCGGAAGCCCTTCCATTTGGCACACTTGACAGACCCAAATGAATGAATGGAATAATAAGAAATGTTATGACAACAGACGAAATATTCAATTGTGATAGGACAGCGATATAATAACCCAAGTGGAGAAGACTGAGCACTATGAGATTGCGGACATGAATGGGGAAGTAACCGATTGCGATAAGCTGTTCACAATGGTTAATGATCCAGTTCAGCACTGATGATGTCACCTCGGTTGGTGATGAAACGTTTGCAAAAACAAATTGCCAAGCTTAGCGAACAGGCGAACTAGTGATCAGTTCACCCGATCTATGAGAACCGACTTTCAATACTTTGTCCATGTGGTCGTTGGTGGTCACTACGTATTCTAAGCGTTTGCTGTCGTGAAATTTCAACCCTGGGAGGATAGGGATCCGGGAGAAATATTTTCAATGTGCAAGAACGAACACCAAACAGAATGATCAGAGCGATTAAGAAAACAATAAAACTACAGAAGCAGTGGCTTGAGGGTGGTATTCGAAGCCTTTAGACTCAAGAAGCCAGATTCATCTTTGGAAGCATGCGGAAAAATGAATATTAAACAAAGGCCCACAAATTCGCTTCTAATAATAACCATGAAGATTCTAGGAAAGTAGGTTGAACATACAATGGGGAAGTGATAAGGCCCCAATAGGAAAAGCCCACAGCGCAGCCGCCTACCACTTTTCTGTAGAATGTTCACTTCCCAACGTCCTTAGCGTTCCTAAGTGACTTAAGGTTTTGGTTTGGGGTTTATAGTACAAAGAACTTCTTGATATTTTTTCTTTTTAACTCTGCTAGTTCAGATGCAACGAATGGTTAGAGAAATTAACTTAACTCTGTGAAAATCCACTGCCCACATTTACAAAATTACAATCTTGAAGTTGATCAATTTTCAACCTCAATGCGTTGCACATTCTTTCTGTTCGTTCAGAGTTCTCAAGAAGGCTTGTAATAGAGAGGACGTTTTCGGGTGTCTGATTTGGTTTTCGAGTCCAAACCTTATGGGACCATGTTCGATATGCCTCACCGGATTGGGAGAAATGGTCAGTG